AGTCCATATAAACAAGTACATTTTATGAATAAATGCCCCAAAATGCATGACTTTCACTGCTTCAAATAAAAAAATTCAATCACACATTAGTCTACACAGTATTGTACTGTCATTTCTTAGACAGGCTTTTTCATGTTCTGAGAAGATGCAAAAGCTATAAAACCCCACACCCTTAATGAAAGGTCGCCACAGTAAGTTTATTTATGTCTCTAAAATGCTCAGTGAGAACTGCAATAGAATGAATAGCTTCTGTGGTCCAAAGCACTCCCAATTCTATGTAAAGAACCAGGTGACAACTTCTCTACTAAGGAAACAGTAGGTGTGTACACCTTATTAGTTTAATTGGGGTATAAGTCTTGTTTCTCATGTTGCTATGACTTTTCATAGTAACAACAACAACAAAAAAAACACAGAGAAAAGTATGACTCAAACACCATCAGATTAGGAAAGGCAGTGTGGGGACATCTAACCCACAAAAGCACATCACTCTGTGATGAGAAAGAATTTCTGAAATGGATAGAACTAACCCTTGGGATTTTAGAACTGCAGCTTTGGTCCCAATATGAAAGAAGTCTCAAGCAGTCTTTAAGATGCAACATGAACCACTGAAGTAGCTCTTAGGGACCTAAAAACATTCTGGCTTAAGGCTCAAATACAAGAGAAATAATCTGTTTAATCACAGTTGAAATAATGGTTTGTGTTCTTGACTGTACAGTCATTCCTCACAGAATTTTGGATAAGGATGAAACTTGATAACCAACAGACTGCTTCCATGCTAATATTCTCAAGTCAGATGGCTTCCTTGTGTCACCACTTGTAAAAGAGCAATAGCACTTCCCTGTCCTCAAAGCATTATTGCATAAGTAAGTTCTTGAATGCTTGTATTGAGACACAAGCAAGAACTATCAACTGAGGTGGGTGCAGGAAGGAATCTCTTATCCTGGCATCAGCTCCAAATTCTATCAATGGCACAAGAACGACATCAGGAGCTGCACAGTTCCATCCTTACCTCATCCACCTTTAAGGCTTTATGCCAATGCAACTTCCATCTGACCAGCAAAGGCTGGAATGCGGAAAATCTCCAGTGGAGATCCCTAAAGCTTTCCTTTAAATGTTCTTGATTTTCCAGGGCTTAGAAACATCAGCCATACAAGGGCAACTGAAATCAGCAACATCAGTACCGAGAACAAGACCAACCTTAAGAAAATTATTATCAGTGTTGTTTCTTTCTCAGCCCAATATTCCTCTTTAGCAACCCAGTGTATCTGAAGTGGCCCTGGGGTCCCAGAGGAGCTCCAGGCTCTTGTCTGTTGCAGATATCAGGTGCAAGTGTAAATAAGGATTATACAAATGGGAGGTCGTTAAAAGTCTGGTAATGCTAATTTGGCATGACACCCCTAATGGGTTATATCTTCACACTCCAGTTATCTAATCACCTAAATTCTCTTAACAAATTTACATTTCATTTTATACATGGAGTTTCAAATTGACTTGCTCAATTCTCCCTCCACCCAAACTGTACCCATGCTCAGTTCATTCACATATTTGATATCCTCATCAATTTTGAGATCATCATCATCAACCACATACACAAACAGATAATACAAATGCACGTGTTTACACAGTTGTGTATAAAACTTCCCTTGCCTCTAAATATCTTTTAATTTTTTACAAGCTTCTCAGATCTCAGGAGAACCACACAAACACATATGCATCATCAGAAATAGCATCTCAGCTTGGAATTTACCTTGTTGGTAGGACACTTCCATTATCCTAAGAGAAGTGACACGGAATAAAGTGACTTTTAAATCAATAATTTAAATGTCACGTTTTGATCCATTTCCACAGTCATGTTTTACACCTTTGTTTTTCTGTTTAATATAAAAAGTTAATCTGGTTTACTCAGGAAAAGTAGCAACAAAAGGAAAAAAGCTTTTAACTGTTCACACCTTCCACATAACACTGGGATTTTATTTTACATGGAAGGCTTAATGTTCCAATTAGAATATTCCACTTGCACTGACTCTCATTTTCTAAGCTCAAAGTTCTCATGAACTAGCTGTGAACTGAAGAAATGCAGCAAAACCCCACCTGAATCACATTTAGATAAAGGTAAAGTCACTGCTGTGATCACTGCACCTGCTTATGGAACCAAAAGGTACATTTAATTAGAGAGGTGGCTGCCCAACAGCTGGCTTTTGATGAGAACATGCTGCTATAAAATCAATATATTATTGTGTATTTTAATATGATAATTCACTTTCCTAAACAAAATGTGTCAAAGGGATGCTTATTTTGGTTTTGCATATTAAAAACAATGCAGAACAGAACCCAATAGAGAAAATTTTCGTCATGCAGACCTGAAGTAATCACACAGAAGTCAGTTGGTTTATGCAATAGTTATATGTTGGCTTGTGAGATAGATTTTTGAACTAGTAACTCACCAGTTTGTCCAAGAAAGCACTTAAGTACACAAAGACAGAAGGAAGTGTGTGCTTAAAAGACTGCCTGAATTCTTTTCAGGAAGTCTGAGTTATTTTAAGACCCTTTCCTGAACTGGGAATTTACCTAATAACTTTAATTGCAGTGATCAAAGCTGAATGACTTCAGAAACATCAGGAATGATTAATACTTTCAAAATGTTATTTTTAACAAATACACCAGGTAAAGAACAGCCAAGTGTGACCATGACCTCCTACACAACTACATGTATATAAAGTGGGAGATTTTGTTTCCTGACTGATTGACTTGCACTGTAACGTGTTTTCCTATCAGCAATTGTTTAAATAAAAATTGGGAAATTCTTAATCTAGTTTATATAGATTTTTATATATATACACTCAAATATCCATTTTATATGGATTTTTATAGATATACACTCAAATATCCTTGAGTAGATAGCGGTCTTGTCCTTTTATCCTTTTCCATGAGGAGGACTTCGAATAGCAGCCAAATACTGTGTTAGGGTGATAAAAAAGGGTGGTAAGACACTCTGTTTTTAAAAAACGTGTATCCACAGGGAAGACAGGATAAAAAGAAAGAGGTGAATACATTTCACTTCCAGTGGAAGCTGACAAGTACAAACAGAACTTTTGCAGGTTAGAATTCTTTAGGCTGTTGCTAAAGATATGGCAAATGAGTTCCAGTGCCTGGAAGTATTACAAAAATACCAGTTTTGGCACAAGGAATACTGCCAAAGGAAGGGGAAAAATAAAAAAAGAACCATAGCTATGTAAAAAACTAACCTCATTTGTTCATTCATTTACTATCACCACCAATGCTTTGGACACTTTCATCAGTCACACATATATAAGAAGCTTTTCACAACTATCTGGAAAGCTGCTGCCTTTCTTTTCCATTATATTCCTTTTCTCAAAGTCCCACTGTTAGCAATAATCAGAATTTACTCAGTATTTATTGCAAGACTGACACAGTTGGGATAACCAACACACACTGGTATAATTTTATCAAAACATAACATTTTTTTCCATGAACAAACAAAATAAAAGGCTGTCCAGTTCCCAAGTTTGTGTCCTATAGGCCTCCACCACTGATCTGTGTTCATACACATCTACTTCTCATTTCATTATCTCAATACTCCCAATTCCACTTCATCTTCCCCAATTCTGGGCTGGACAAAGGAAGTGCCCGCAGGCTGTTTCAAGCAACACCTACTCCAAGAGCCACACCAAACCTCGCTGCAGCTCCCTGCTCAAGGTACCAGCCTAATTCCCAGTCCTCTAAGAATCTATAGCTGAAAATTTCCAACTTTTTTAAAGGCATGGAGGAAGAGAGTCACCTGCCTCCTTCAAACAAACTGGAACCAGCCAGTTGGACTTGCTTCAAGTCTCCTGAGGTGGGTAACACTGATAATCAGGGCAGGCCTTACTTCCCAGACTATCCTGGTAGGTTAAGTCTAGATGGGGTAGACAAACTGAGGCATAAGCAAGACTTCACACCTGGAGACACCCTTGAGCTGATCCCAGGATAACTACAGGTGATTGTTACTGACCACCTTTCACTGTCCGTAGCCAACTTTGATGGCAGAGGACAGTAAAAAGGTCACCTGAGCTACATAAACTTGGCTTTACACAGGCACACTCCTTTTTTCAGCAAAAAGAAACATTCGACTTGTACAGGTAACAGTTACAGCCTGACTTTCAAGATGGAAACTGCAGATAAATGAAAAATAAGCATCAATAGGACTGAAAAAGGCACAGTACAGCACAAATCTTACACAAATACTCAGAGAGGAGCAAAGAAGCAAGACACTTCTTACAGTGGCCAAGATTTTTAACTTCTGTGTGATGGCAGTTACCCTTTCCTTCTCTACAATGTTCTGAAATCTTACGAGTCTTAAAACACACAATTTTGCACAAAGGCAAGCTGCAGAGAGTTACTAAGTGAGATGTACAAAGGACAAGGAGTAATGTACCAAAACTGAATTCTTTAAGATGAATTTTCCTCAGTAACCTCCCCTCTCAATTTCACAAAAACACATTGTAAGTATACCTTTATTTAAAAATTACCTACTTAGAACACACAAACAAAAAGAGCCACCTTGCAGAGCTGTAAGTTGGCCACTCTTCCTCACACAGAGGAAGTGGCTGTGCATCTCCAACTGCTACCAATGCAGGTCGTGGAACAGAACCTTCTCCCATCTCACCAGACTGTCACCAGCATTTCTAATATTCCTGCTCATTTACAGCTCCACTTTGCACACCCTCAGTATGTGTTTTGCACACTTGTAAGTACACATGGAGCTGCCTCTGGCTCTTAACTCCAGTGGAACAGGATGGAATGAAATAAGCTGCTGCTCCTAGAAAGTATTTGTTTATCTGGAGCCAATCGCTGTTCCTGTGTCCATGTAATGACTTCCTCAGAGCAGGCAGAGATTACCCACACCACTGATCACTTTATTACTTCAGAATGGCTGTTTATTTACCTTAGTGCAGCAGCAACATGCAGGGATAAAGCTTGTCGCAGCTGGGCAAACTCACCATACTCCTTACGCAGGTGGTCTGGAATGTGGGGCTCATAACCTTCCTTCTCAGGGACCTCCACAAAGTCATCTTCATCCTCGTCCTCGTCGTCATCATCCGAGGCTTTCATCTGCAGAGACATTTTTGTTGGTTTTTTTTTTCTTTTTTTTTTTTTTGTAAATGTGAAGATTGTTTTTCATTTCCCTTCACACTGAAAATATTTTGCAGACATCTCGATAGCCCTACTGAGACTGCTCTATGTCAAAACTATTTCCCTAATTATGTATTTAATCTTTATCTAAGATTAGGCCTTTGCTTAACGTTTTATCTCTAAAGCCATACTCTATCCTAAGGGCTTCTTTTAAAGCCCCTTTTATCCATTAGAACACACACACAGTTGGTGAAGTCTGAGAAAGTGTGAAGCTATGAAACAGACCAAAAAATCTTAAAACAACATCAAGATTTTGATTTAATGAGCAAATTATAGCCCTACCTCTTCTCCTTTGGATGATTTTACTCCTTTAGCAGCACCCAAATAGTCTGTGGCATGTTACATGGTATCACAAACTGTTTAAGAGCTCAAATCCAGAGCAGGTAAACAGGAGGGGAAGTGGCAATACTGACCCAAGTAGGAATATTCAGATGTGTATACTACAGTGGTTCACTGTGTTTCTTCACAACAGCACTAAAAATAACTGGCAACATTCATTTCTTAGCTAATTTGGTACACCCCAACCATTCATACCATTAGACTGCATACACTGCTATGGTTAAGATCAACAAAACAGGATTTTTTTTAAATGTACATTTGGTCTGTCTTGCAGTCTGAGTATCTACAAGTAGTTAAAAAACCCCGCAGTTCCTACCAACTAAACAGGGTAATTCATTCATGTAAGTGGTTTCCTATATCTCATTTCATCCTGATACTACTGTATATATACCAGCAAATCTCTACATTTTTTCTAAGCTTGTTCCATACCTGAAAATGATTTTGTCTTCTAAATTACACGTAAGCTAAAAGAATCTGTGCCACCAGACACGGCCTGTACTATCAGAGCTTTAAAACAGCAAACGCCAGCTACCTTAAAAAGGCAGCAATGACAGAGGCTTTACACTTTATTTCTTTTGCCCACCTTCAGAGTCATCTAATTCCCAACAACAACATAATTAGCACTTTATTGTAGTTTCTCATGTGCTTTTACAATTCTAGGAAATAATAAGGGGTGTCCACTAAATCCAGCCTTAGCACAGGCTATCACTTTTTTCCACTTCATTGCAGCAACCCAAAGCCACAGATAAGGAATAGCATCATTTTCAGTATTTTCAACTGTGTTCTTTACTCCTCTTAGTGCACCTGACTTCTGTTGATATTCATATCAACTCCTCTTTGCTACAAGCACCAGAGGATACTGCCAGTTTTGCCTGAAGCAGAATTTTCCCAATTTAATGCACTACTCTAATCTTGTGTCACAGCTGAATTCCTTTAAATCATACATATACTCTGAAACCAAAAACCTAGAAACCAATCTTGATTTATCGAATGTAGTTCAATATAAATAACTTTTTTAAAAAATTAGTATTTTTTTTGGTCAGTATTATTTGTAAGCTGGAATGAATTAATTTGTAATACCAAATGTTAATTTATATTAATACACACTGATACACATCAACACATAATGAATGGATGGTACAAATTAGAAGTAAGATCCTTCCCTTTGTTTAAAAAGTTACTTTGATTTAAGAAAGCTGCAGTTCCAGTGAAAAAAAGAAAGAGGGAAAAAAAAAAGATTTACTGTCCTGAAGACTATAATTGATTTACTTTTTCATTCTTACCATTGAACAACTAATTAGTCTTCATTTTAAAATAAAGACTCATCATAATCATGTTTGAGAGTACGCTGCTGTCAAAGACAGGTAAGAGCCACAGCTCAGTCTCTTCAGGACAATTATCCCTATCTTGAGAGCTGCCAACATCCAGGCTATCCTGGAGGATCCTGCACCCAGGTTTACTTTTTGTTTCCCACTGTGATTGTTCTTCCTCATCTAAAAGCAAGCAGCAATTCAGGTTGTACCTGGCCTGGCCAAGACAGATGCACACTGAGCCAAAACAGAGTTTAACCAAAGAGAGGGTCAAATGTTCCACCACTAATCACAGACTCCCAAAGCCACTAGACTTGAAAGCGGAACATCTGTGTTAAACTACAACTTTCAGAAGACCTTCCCAATGGCCTTTAGAAAGAAAAAAAATCATCAGGCTTCGTACTGCAGAAGAGAAGAGGGCTAAAGATTGAAGAGAAGTTTGCTTGTATTTTGGTTTTGATATTCTGCTGGTGCAGTCACCCCCTTATCATCTATTAGGGACAATTAAATTAAATTCAGAAATAACCTCCACTCCCATTTTGCTACAAGCTGGATAACATCATACTTTCCACACTCAGGTTCCATTTCTCATCTAGCTATCAAAAAAAGATTTCACCAAGCTAAAACTTGTCATAGATTATCTTAGTCTACAACTTTGTGCCATAATGTACGAGCTGATCAACTTTCACATCATAAAACAGGGAAAGTAAATTCAGTGTGTTTCCATAGCTTTTACTCAGCAGTCTATAAACAAACAGCAACAGGTTTAAGGAACTGAGAAACAGTGTCAAGAGAAAGAAAACTCAGTTCAGACTGATAATTTAACATAAATTTCCAGATTATACCTGAAGTAGGGGGGATATAATACCAGTACTTCCTTGCATGTCATATCTGAGAGGACTAGAGGGAACGCTGGGTACTACCTTTAATTGAAATTTCCCCAAATTTGTTCCCATGTCACTGGAGGCATGTATCTCTCCATACAGTAACACACTAAAATTCAGTGGGCTTCTCTAATCCCCAACTTGAAAAACTGCATTAGAAGCAACTTTGCTGTATAACCTGCATGGCCTAAAACTTTAAGGCACGTGAAAAGCCTGACAGAGAAAAGGCATAATCAGATGCAAATTCACTTTGTTTAGGTACAATCCATGAACTGTGCATTCAAGTACTATAGAAAACATTAATCATAGGAAACTGTAATTTTTGTTATCAGTCTAACACTAATCAAAAGGGAAACCTGTCACTACCGCTGACCTGTGAAACGTCCCAATTATACTCTTTGGAAATGACAGGAGCACTTAACTTCCTCACTGAGTAAATGACGACGATCAATCAAGTTTGAATAACAATGAGCCACGGAGCTGAAAATTATTTTTTGTATAGAATCTACCCAGGAATTTATGAAAGGTGAAAAGCAACCCAAGGTTTTAGGGGCATTATGGCTTTCAGCTAGTGCAGCACATATCAAACACTAAACAGAATTTATGTGTTTTAATTTTCTAAAAGGTAGATGTGGACTTGGTGCTACAATGCATAACATATAATGCCAGATTTTAAATATGGGGGTCATTTTCATAAAATATTATGCGTATTGTTCACACCCTTGAATTTCCCTAGGGTCTTCTATTAAATTTAGATTTCCTGTAAAAAAAATTAACTGCTTAGCTAACTATCAGGAATTAAGCTCCCTTTTCCCTTCAAACAGACATAAAGTCTTTATCTTGATAAAATCTTCAACCAGATAAGTAAGTTATCTTTTTACTTTAAAATACTAAAGTTGTCCCTGGTGGAAATTCAAGAAGTTGCATAGTAGTATTGGGTAGTTACATCTCAATTTACTTCATTCCACTGTTACTTCATCAGCACCATCCCATTTATGCTGGTTTGTTCCATTCCCTTTCTACAGAGAGCAGGAGAGCTCATGGGCAACACTCTTAGTCAGAAAAGTATCTTCTTTTTTTTTTTAAATTCCATTTTTTAAGCATGAAGGAAGCTCCAAAGCAACATCTACAGATGCAGTATGAAAACTCAACCACCTACAATCTACATTTCCACTACAGGTAAACTTCTTCAGTCAATTAAAAAAAAACAAAACAAAACAAAACAAACAAACAAAAAAAATCCACCATTAAATCAGAAGAAATAAATATTTAAGACAATATTTTAAGTGGTAGAATTAGTAAATGATGATCCTTTAGGAATGAGTGGTTAGGTATTTGCAAACAAGAAAAAGGAGACTAAGATAAAGACAAGCAATATGACATTTCTAGTGTGCCATGTCTGAAGAAGTGCAAGTGATAAATACCTCAATGTAAAGCTTTCCTTGTAGTGTACGAATTAAGCACCTCTAAGATAAGTAGTCATGCAACTGCTTGTTTCTCAAACACCTGTCAAAGAACGTGGAAAAAAAAGGTCCTGGTTTCAAATCCATTCTAATTATCACGTGATATGAGGAAAGTCACTGACACAGGGCACCATCAGAGATGGAGGGTGAACTACCTCCCCTCTGCAACTAGAGAATGGATGCCCTGAAGGCAGACCAGATTCCCAGAGATCAGTGGCTACTTGCACCACCACAGCTCTTCAAGTTGCATGGAGAAGGGATCTTTTTTCCCTGTTAATCTGCTCTAAAATGCTGAGCATTATTTATTTATTTATTAATTTACCTAAGTCGCAGAATCATTTGCAAAATTATTATGGGAGTTGGTTGGGTTTTTTTTTCACTTGGTAGTGTTCCTGACTAGATGTCTCATGGTGAGAGGAAATAGGGTTTGGCTAGGCAATTTCCAGATTCTTGAGCTGAACTTATTTACATATGAGAATATGGTTTTAAAAAAAGATAGAAAATACACATGCATGACTTTCACCGTAATCACTTAAAACATCTTCTCCATTCACCCGATTTTCATTAAAAACTTAAAACAGTGCTGACTAGATCAAACCATTTACTCTCCAATTCATTAAAAAAAAACTTCAAAAAGCAGATGTTTCCTTATTACTCTGCATTACTAAAAATCCTGGAAACAAACACTGGGTGCCAGCAGAAATGCAATCATCTTTTACTTTGGAGTCAACACTCCAACAGGCTCCGGCTGCAAGTGCAGCTCAGGGCAACCACAGCTCCAGTTAAAGGCCTTGTTCATCCATGCCAACCAGGAATAAATGCAAAAAAAAGCCTCCACCCACCACACAACACTTGGAAAGATGTGAAGAAAAGCTTTTGGCCCTTTTCTCACTTTTATACAAATTGACTGCTACATTTTGTTA